AATGTGTCCTTTTATTATTGCTTGGACAAAATGCTGCACATTTCTTTGTGAAATTTAAATATAACACTATAATAATATACTAATATAGCACTTGCATATTATTGCTCTTTTGTTGGTTTTGATTGCTTCTATTGTCCTCATTTGTAAGTCGCTTTGGACAAAAGCGTCTGCTAAATGACAACATTTAAATATAATGTAAATGTAAATAACAAAACTACATTGACATTTTAAAACAAGCCCCAAATCAAATAAATAAGTAACACAAATAAAATAAATCTCTTTATATAAACAAACTAAGGCTTTGTCAGTGCTCTTTCCATTTAAAATTACAGGCAACCACTGCATTTTAATCATGATCCAAACAAAGATGCTGCATACATGCAACATGAGCAGTTTTTAATCCAAATTAAATTGTATAATTTTGAAATTTGAAGCAGAAACAGAATGGTTTGACTTCAGTTTTGTGAAACTATACATAATATCTGCATGAAACCGAAACAGCAGACGAGCTGAATGAGACGCAGATTCACTCTCTGCCAGCAGGTGGCGCTTAAAGCGTTTCCTTGGTTTCCGCTGTAAACAAAGCAGCGCTGCACTTATGAACTTTAATATGCATTATACAGAGGCAAGATGAATAGAAAAAATACCATCTAAACTTTTCTAAAGACAGTAAGTTCCCCTCAGACATGCATTCATATAAACTCCTACCCCTAAATGAATCGCGATTTGTTTAGCATCTCAACCGATTTGAATCGTCACATATTTGAATCGATTTTCAACCGGCTCGCGGTTAATCGTTACATCCCTAGTACAGTGGAAAACTATGAATGAATGTAATGTAATCTGTTTTCGAAAACTTGCTGTCTGTCAAGCGCTACAAAAATTAACACTCACCAAACATCACATTCCCTGTATGAGTAAAAATTGGCAAAAAAGTAGACTTTTCATTGGTTCAACATAAAATATGTTGCAAGTTGAATTAATCAAAAGTAAATTTTGGATCCTGGCTAAAGTTTATTTTCAGACCACTGCGTTTTCTTATGAATATCAAGAGGAAAACAAACTTTCAGAAACATTCCACAAAGCACACTTACTAGAGCCATAGAGTATATTTGCATACACAAAGCTGCGGTTGATAAGGTTGAGTTCAAATCGGCACACTCAGCTGTCACAGACATTCCCACAAAAGCCCGATTCAAATCATGAGACAAACAACAGATTTGTTCTGCTTATTTGGCATCCCTTTGTCATTGCATGTGTGAAGTCCATTTATGTTGTGACCAAATGTAATTAAAATCTATTTTTGATTATGTTGTAGAGTTCCAACAAGATCAAGCTGGCTAAGGAGCTGTCAGACATGGTCATCTACTGTAAGAGTGTCCATTTCAGCACCTTCGAGCATTCAAGAGACAACCACAATTTCTATGAAATGGCCTCCTTCAAGGAGAGCAAAGCAATGAACCTGGCAGAAAACTCAGGTAAACCAGGGTGTTGCTAACTTCTGGGTTTGCCTACAAAAATACGCCATCACTGCAGCACTCTATAGGGCCTTTAAACAAAAAAAAGAAAGACCAGTGATGTTGCCAGATATACTCTAATATCACATCTTTGCTGATTTCTTAAAGCTACAGCATATATTCATCACAACATGGATAAGCTGAGCAGAATCTACCCAGCCGGCTCCAGAACCGATTCATCCAACTACAATCCAGTGCCACTGTGGAACGCTGGCTGCCAAATAGGTGCAAAGCCCCTACATATTATGAGTCTGATGCAGTTCAGAAAGCCTGTTTATAATCTACCCATGCTTCCAAACACCACTTAATCTGTTTTTATCCCTCAAATGGTTTACAGTGGCTCTAAACTTCCAGACTCCTTGTAAGGAGATGGAACTGAATGAGGCCCGCTTTCTACCTAATGGCAAGTGTGGCTACATGCTGAAGCCAGAGTTTCAGAGGGACCCGGCCTCCCAGTTTGACCCCAAGAACCTCAGTGTAGGCCCCTGGCTGCAGAAAAAGATCTTGCATGTCATGGTGAGATTCTTATTAAAAAAAAAAAAATTTAAAAAAAAAAAGGACAAATATAAATAAAAATTCTACCTGATACAATAAATACAAATAAATTATTAAGTACATTAAATAAATAAAAAAGATGAATAATAAATAGAAATTATAAATATATATTTTTATTGAGTTATTTGTTCATTAGAAATGAATCACCGTCGGTGCCGTTGCAACACCATTGCAATTTGGGCGTCCCGAGTTTGAATCCCACCCCCACTTCACTTCCTGTCTACCAGCTGTCCTATTAAAATAAAGGCAAAAAGCACCAAAAATAAATCTTAAGAAAAAAATAATTAATCGTTAAAATTGATTAATTTTAAATGCTACAAGTGAATTTTAGGCATCACAACATTATATTATATACAGTATGAAAAATAAATATTCATTTTGATGTTTGCTAACAGTGTTATTCTGGCTTATACAATAAATAAAATAAATTAATGAGTACATAAAAAATAAAATCTGTTTTTTATATTTTAATTGTTTTTTTTATATTTTTAAAACATAATGCATTATCTTATGAAAAATAAATATACATTTTGAGGTTTGCCAACGATTACATTTAACAGTGTTATTCTGGCTGATACAATAATTAAAAGAAATTAATGAGTACATTAAAAATAAAATCTGTTTTTTATATTTTAATTATTTTGTATTATTTTTAAAACAATAAATATGTATTTTTTTAATAAAAAATGAATCAATAAAAGCTCAAATCCAATCATTTTAAATGTTAGAAGTGAATTTAGGCATCACAACCTTGTAATATTCATTATGAGAAATAAATATTCATTTTGAGGTTTGATAAAGGCATTTAATAGTGTTATTAAATTATACTGGCACTGATATATCATTCATCCCTAAACCAAATGCAAACTATCTAAACCAATCCAAACACATCGACCAATAACTATATATGTCTGTTCAGATCATCTCAGCCCAGCAGCTGCCTAAGATCAATAAGGACAAGCAGAAGTCCATCGTGGACCCTCTGGTCAAGGTGGAGATCTATGGTGTGCCCGCCGACAATGCCAGCAAACAGACACATCACATTGACAACAATGGCAAGTGTCAACAGTGGATTTACACTTACATGTTTAACACATGCTTTTTACCTAAGTGTAGGTCACTTAGGTGTTTTTTGGTTACAGGTTTCAATCCTACGTGGAACACAGACTTCCAGTTCACTGTTCACGTGCCAGAACTGGCTTTGGTGCGGTTTGTGGTGGAGGACTATGATGCTGCTTCCCATAATGACCTGGTTGGCCTGTACACTCTGCCCTTCACCAGCATGCAGAATGGTGAGCTGGTGAAAATAAGTCAGAAATGACTTCCTGTTGTGCAGTTATTATGAATTTGCTCACCATAAGTCTATCTGTCTTCAGGATACCGCCATGTGCCTCTGCTCACAAAAAGAGGAAGCCTCATTCCTTCAGCGGGACTGTTTGTACACATCATGGCTCTTGATGGTTAATAAACTCCAACATTCCCCTCAGTCATTGCAATGTCAAAGTGTGCAGATCACTGAACAGCACAGTCAACTAAACTGTTCTCTGCAAACACTTTTTGGATAAGATTTGGACCTTTCTGATATGCCTTGTGCTTTACTGGTTAGTTCTCCTTACCATTTGAATACCGAGGCGTACCTTAAAATGCTTCATGGAATTAGAATGTGTGGTTTAGTAAAAAAAGAAAAGAAAAAGAACTTTAAAGACATAAGAAAAAGAAATAATATCAAATCAAATAATGTTCAGAATTCAACAGTCTTTCCATAGCATGCAAATTGAAAAAAAAAATGCAATACTGTCTAAATAAAATATCAAAATCATAAATTTGAATTCAAATATATTTTATTTAACGTTAATTGAAATTTGAATATTTTATGTAAAATTTTAAGATTTTTTTGCTTTTGGCTACCAATAAGAGTAGTACTTTCTAGTGCTGTCAAATTGATTAATCGTGATTAATCGTATCCAAAATAAAAGTATGTGTTTACCAGAGTTGGGGGTAATGTAATCAGATTACTTTTTTCAAGTAACTGGTAAAGTAATGCATTACTTTTAAATTTACAATGAGATATCGGAGTTACTTTTTCAAATAAGTAACACCAGTTACTTTGTTTTCCCATTTATTCATTGCTGGCTCTCCTGTCCTCGTGTTGAGAGAAATTGGGGGTGAGGTGCAGAGGCACTTCCTTCAGCCTGAGGCTTATTCATTTCACTTTTGGTGTGAAAGGGCCTTTACAGTTGCCAGAAATATAACTTTTCGGGGTTTTTGTTATTAATAAACAAATAAGCAAGCCTAGCCCAGGTGACAAAAAGTAACGCCATAATGTTAATGCCATAAAGAGTAACTAAGTAACGCAATTAGTTAATTTTTTATGAACTCAATATTGTAATGCATTACTTTTAAAAGTAACTTTGCCCAACACTGGTGTTTATGTGTGTGTACTGTGCATATTTATATGTCTGTATAAATACACACACACACACACACACACACATGTATATATTTAAGAAATATTTACATATATATATATTCATATTTATATATGATTTATATCATATAAAAATATAAATATATATTATATACATTTCTTAAATATAGACATATAAATATGCACAGTACACACACATATTATGTAAACACAAATGTTTATTTTGGATGCGATTAATCACAATTAATCGATTTGACAGCACTAGTACTTTCAGATCCACTTAACAGGTTTTACCATATTGAAGTCCATTTTGAGAATTCTATCGTCATTCCGGTCTAAATCAGTTTTTGGAGCATTTTTCACCAAAAACTGATTCAACCCAATTTTTTGAGAATGTTGTAATTGGAGAATGTTTGACCTAACACTGTTTTCTATTTTAATATAAAAAAAAATTATATTTAAAAATATACTACACTGATCCCTTTTTACATTGAGTATTTAAACAGTGTTTGTATATGATTTCTGATTGTCAATGTGTTTTTGTCCAAACATTCCCATTAAGTCTTTATCTTAGTTATTTCTTGGTTAAATGGATTTAATCGTAACAATATCATCTCCTTTGTTCAGTGTTGTGTGAGATTGTGTGTTGAACTGTAGTAATATTGTTCAATATTTGTTAGTCCCCATTTTTACAATGACTTATGTTGGCTTATGCTCAGTTTTAATACAACATGTTCTTTATATGAACTCAGGATACAAATGATGGACAATGAAGCATTTACCCCATATGACCAATACTGTACACGCGATCCAATATTTTCTGATAAACATGTTTAGCTATCAATTATAATCACATTATATGAGAATCTGAACAGTAGGCGTGTATTGAGTTATCTTGTCAGAGCAGTAGATGTGTTGTGTAAAAGAAATGTGAATAACGTAAAAGAATGAAAAAAGTTATACATTTACAAACAGTAGCTGTGCTCTATATTTTTAAGGTGTTTGTTTTGTATTCATTGTTGTTGGTATAAGGTATTGCTGCTTTTATCTGCTCTTTTTCTAGAAATATTTCTATTTTTATGTTGTTCTTAACTTGTCTAATGTGCCTTAAAGGAAAGTTGTTACACAGGCTGTTAACTGTCTACTTCAGCAATAACAACAACATCTGACGTCCTCCTAACAGGAAAGAACTGGCTTTACTGATGCTAAAATGCTGTGACATTCAACTAGTACATGCATTAAAAGGGAATTAAACATCTCAGAAACATTTCTTGGCTTACACTGTGTTTTTATTAGGACTAAAAAGCATGTAGACATGTTCTACATGACTGATGTTTTATGTAAGATATTTACAAAGCATTTCTATTAGGTCAAGTTAGCTTTTGAGTCTAAACATTTATTTATTTGATGAATAAATCAATCTATAACATTGCATAGGTGACTGTCTTCTAGCCCAAAATACACATAGAGCACAATAATCAGGTCTGAAGATCAGACTGTATCTCATTATAACAAAATCAACTCAAAACATTCCTGCCTTCTTTTTAAGGTCGTTCTGACGCCATTTAGGCAGCCGCTGGAAATTGTCTCGGGTGCAGCCGAAGAGATTCTCAAATTCTGCATCAGTCAAATATTCCTGAAATAAAGATAATGTAGGAAAACAAATTTACCAGATAACAACCTTCAAAATATATTTTGAGCTCTGACTTTGTCAAACCAACTCAAAACTATGGAAGCTTTTTACACATTTTTATCTCACAATTCTGACATTTAGTCTATTTATTCTTGCAATTCTGTCAATATCTCACAGTTTCTAATTTTTTCCTCACAATTCTGAGAAAAAAGTATTTTTTAGATCACAATTCTGACATATAAACTCAACTGGGAGAAAAAGAGTCCGATTTGTGAGATCAAAAGTAAAAAAAAAAAAAAAAAACCTTCTCAAAAGTTTGAGATGATATCCTTCAATTCTGAGAGAACAGTCAGAATTGTGGAAAAACAATCCACAAAATCCATTTTTATTTTTTATCCCATTGCAGAAAGAGACTGCCATACTAAAGGTCTCAGTACCCACCTCTCGTTTTTCAGGGTCCACTCCTTGAGGCAGCTGATTAGGTGTTTTAACTAGCTGCTCAGAATGTAGCATCCCAGAAGGCTTTGCTCTGCTGGGAGACTGGTCTACATATGCACTGGCGATGGAGGAGGACATCCTCTGATTATGGGACTTTATATTTCCCGGGCCTCCGGGAGCGCTGTAGCTCCCTCCACCTCCTCCTGTCTTCTTATTCAGGTTTGTGTTGTTGAGATTCTACAGGAAATGAGGTTAACATGTTTAGAGCTGCACACAGGTGTGTAGGTCATATAGATATCTAAAAGTAATTCGATAATTTGATCAAATAAGGTGAATCAATTTAAATGCATCAGGACAAGCATTTGATCAGTATGGTGAAAGCTTTTTTACCACAGTGATTTGCGAAATATCACCCAGCTTGCTTTTCATCTCCTCATATGAAAGGCCTCCCTAGAATATAGAGTGAAACTGAAAAAGTGTCTCTCGGGTAACATTAAGTATTATGTGGTGTGATGGTGGACAAAATGTCAACATGAAATGGCACTCATAACCAGCTTTATATTTGAAAATTCAATGAGAAAAAAGTGAAAAATGGCCGTGGTCTCAATATGAGAGGCTGAATGTGAAATCAGTTTCCATTCATTTAATCTCAATTTTTTTTCCGTGGTAATTATTATTGAAGCTGGTTTCCACCACAGGATAAAAAAAAGGTATTGCAAGATGAAAAGTCAGAATTCAAAGGGAAAACATGTCAGAATCGAGATAAATTCACAATTGTGAGATTTAAACTCGGAATTACGAGGAAGTATTGCAGAATTCTGATTTCATATCTCACAGTTCTGACTTTATATCTCTAAATTCTGAGATATAAGTTCAGAATTGTGAGAAAAAAGTCTGAAATGTAGGATAAAACTTGCAATTACCTTTTTAAAAAAATGTATATTATTATTATATTATTGAGAAGGAATTGGCTAATTTAAACTTAATGAATAGCCTGTGTGACCAAAAGCTGCATCAGAGGCAGATTATTACATTTTCATGAAGAATCACATGATTGTAAAGCGCTTTGGGTGTACAACAATACACAATAAAGCGCTATATAAATGCATCATTCATTCATTCATCCAATGAAGAATCATGCAAAATAAGATCAGGAAAATGTGTTAAGAAAGTATAAATGGTCCATTTTGCTTTCATGCTGAGGATGTATTATTAGATGAGAATCAACAAACGACTATGAGGATTGAACTTCTCAAGATTCAGTTAGTGAATTTCTGTTGTGCATTATTGCCCCCTGTTGGACAGTTTCAGCCTGTTTGACTCACGCTCCACTTATGAGCATCCCAGGCGTTAAACCAGCCGGTGAAGGTGGGCGGCTCATAGGCTTGTTTAACAGTGCTGACCGGTGTCCCGGGGTCCCGTCCGGCTGGGTGGGTTTTAAGATATTCCACTGCACTGCTATAGGACTCCTGAGTCTCGTACTGGTTGGCTGAGTTGCCAATCCAAAGGAAAATCTGAAGGAGGAGGAAGAAGAGGGGTTTAGGAGATTGACATGTAAGTAAGAGCAGGAGCTTTCTAACTTTTTGATGCCACAGAGAGACCCCAAATTTGGATGACCTCTTTGCAAAGGACCTAAAATGTACTGTAAAGCCAGCTATATATTTTTATTTACAAAGACCCATTTATTTATAAAGTAACCTATCAATACATTAAAATAATTGTGCTTAATCTCCTGATTTCCCACCAGTATTTAGATTGAAATAGTCTTTTTTTTCCCCAAATAAATAAATGATTCTATTCTATTCTATTCTATTCTTTTTTTGCCCCAAACTCTTTTTCTCTCTTTCTAACTCATTTTCCTGGTCACCAGTTTTAAAATCCGCTGGGTTTGAGTAACTTAATACGCAAACAACCAGCAGTTTGAGTTATTTTTCTCTGCATATTTTGCATAATCCAGAACGACACCGCCATTTCACAGCAGCCTCATGCAAAAGAAGCCGACAGCATGACCTCATGCAACCCACCTCCTCCCAGGTGTCTAGAAGCATGACATCATCCTCATCCAGGTCATCCTGAGTGAAGTCAGCCACCTCTGTCACAAGGAATCGGCCCGTCTGATTGGAGCATTCAAACAGACGAGGTTCGTGAGGTGCCACTTCTTTCTCCAGTCTGGTGGAGACACAGAGGAAGTCAGTGGAAATGATTGACTGTCCTCCAGAGTTGAACTATGAGCTCATTTTTATCTGTTTTTATAGTTGTACCGCTTGTCACTGGCATATGGAGCTTTCCCTCCCAAAGCCACCCAGAAGGCAGCTGGTTCCTGTCCTTCCATCACAACCTGCTTGTCCTGCTCAGAAAGCAAATCAGCTACGGCTTTCCCCATCTCCCTCTCGTCTCCACTGCAGCCCTGTGAGAAACAGAAACACACACACACATAGAGAGAGAGATTTAAAAATATAAAGTATTTATTATGATTCATGAATTAATAAACTACTGGTTGAAAATATGGAATAATTACGTTTTTTTTTTTTGAAAGAAGTCTCTTATGATCATTTATGCTGATTTGGTGTTCAAGAAACATTTCTTATTATTATTATCAATGTTGAAAACAGTTTTTCGACATGACGCACTACCACAGTTTCATTTATCATTTATTATGAATAATTAAGCATATATAATAATAATAATTTAGCACCAACTCAGCATATTAGAATGATTTCTAAAGGATCATGTTACTCTGAAGACTGGAGTAATGACTGCTAAAAATTCAGCTTTGCTGAAATAAATTAGGAATAATATTTCATAATAATATCATTGCTTTTACTGTATCAAATAAATGCGGCCTTTATGATCATATGAGACTTCGTTTTAAAAACATTTTTTGACACTTTTTGGCCAGTCGTGTATATTTATTATAACACATTTTAGCCAGAGTATAATTGTTACGTTTTGCTTTTTTTTAATGTTGCACATTTAGGTTTTAGTGTATATTTATTCAGTTCAAACAACTGTATTTATTTATTTATTTATTTCAATAATTTAAATGATTAGTTATAGATTTAATTTTTATATTTAATTAATTAGTGTAAATTTATATATATTTATACTTGCCTTGCCATACCACAGGAAGACGTTCTGATGAGTTTTGAGAAGAAAGACATCATTGGTGTTGAGAGACGAGGCTCTGGTGGGCACCTCTGTTGCTTTGGTGTTCATCTCATGTGTCCCTCTGACCTGGAAGAGTCTGGCACCAGGATCAGGGTTCACAACACCCAGTCTACCCGTCCCACCCTAAGAAACAATCAATATGTCAATGAAAAGCAAGAAATCATACTAATATATTCTATGGCTGAGTTCTATGTTCCATAGGAATGAAGGGACAATCACCTCAAAAATGATGAGCCTGCCCTTAAAGATGGCCAGGAAGTGTCTGGGCTCTTTTCCCATGACCACTCTGACCTGTGTTGGGGCTCCATTGTATTTGTTATCCAAATTCACCGCCTGATAAGCGCATGCCGTCACCTCATCCTGTGTAGCATGGCGACCCTGGGGAACACATTTCATGTCATAAGATCTCCAATGTGTTCATCCAGAGTATAACACTTTTCTGCTCAATACAAGTGAATTTAATCTGTGTAGAGTTCAAATGTCAGAAATGCTGCGTTGGTTATTTTGTACTGTAGCTATATAATATATTTTATATACAGTGGCCCCACTTATGTCACACTTAAATGAATGTCATTATATAACAAATATTAAATATGTGGGGTCACACATTACAAGTAACACGCGTTATGTAATTAGATTACTTTTTTCATGTAAATAGTAATGCATTACATGATTAATGCAAATATACAACACAATTTCTGGTATACTTTTTCAAAAAGTAATGCAAGTTACTTTGATGTCCTCTCCTGTCTCCATGTTGATAGAAATTGGGAGTGAGGTGCAGAGGTTGAGGCACTTCCTTTAGCCTGAGACTTATTAATTTCACTTTTGATGTGAAAGGGCCTTTATGGTTGCCAAAAATATAACTTTTGAGTTTTTTTGTTATTAAAAAAACAAATAAGCAAGTCCAGTCCAGGTATATATATATATTTCAGTATATATGTGACCCTGGACCACAAAACCAGTTATAAGGGTAAATTTTTCGAAATTGAGATTTATATATCATCTGAAAGCTGAATAAATAAGCTTTACATTGATGTATGGTTTTTGTTGGGACAGGACAATATTTGGCTGAGATACAACTATTTTAAAATCTGGAATCTGAGGGTGCAAAAAAAATCAAAATCAAAACTTTAAAGGCGAGAAAATCGCCTTTAATGTTGTCCAAATGAAGTTCTTAGCAATGTATATTACTAATCAAAAATTAATTAATTTTGATATATTTACAAAATATCTTCATGGAACATGATCTTTACTTAATGTCCTAATGTTTTTGGCATAAAAGAAAAATCACTCATTTTGACCCATACAATGTATTTTTGGCTATTGCTACAAATATCCCCCAGTGACTTAAGACTGGTTTTGTGGTCCAGGGTCACATATTATGTTGGAGATAAGAGTATGCATGTAAAGCTCCTCACCTGCCACATGTAGAGGATGTACTGTGGTTTGTTGGCTCTGTTGTAGGTGTACAGCACTAGATAACAGTCTCCTCCATAGAACTGTCCATATGTGCTTGGGTTCACCTCCTTCAGTTCAAGATTCTCAATGCGCCAAACCTGAACACAAAACAGAGCAGATATTTGTCTGTTATGGTGTGGTAACAATCCCAAACTTTTGAGTTCAGTATTACTATTTTATTATACCTGAATATGTCCTGAGGCATCGTCCACCATCCGCTCCTGAGCAGCCAGCTTTGGCTGAGCATGAAGCTCCATGACGTCAAACTTCACCTGATCCACTTTAGCTGCAGAAACAGGTGAGCATACGATCACCACACTGACACAATCAAATATGGCGCATATACTAACATGACATACTGAAACATCCACATTCTCAGATGAGAAATAATGCTGATGAATCACCTATCTTTCCGACGGAGTGGGTCTTTCCCAGTCCTTGAATTTGACCTTTTTCTTTCCAGGACTTGAAGAGATGTTTAAACATGGCAGACTCTCCTCCTTCACTCATAACCTCCACTTTAGTGTTGGACGGGTAGTTCTTTGCTTTTATAAAGCCCTGAGGGATGAATATTTGTGTGCACCAATTATGACACAATAGAAAAGTGATTTTAAATAAATATACTACTTTGCCGAATAATACTTTGCGAACACAGACACTTACAACCGCCCGACTCAGTGCTGAGCGTCTCTCTTCATCTGATGCTGCCTTTCCTTTCCAGACCATTACTGAGCTGCCACCTTGATCTAAAATATAGCAATCCTGCAAACAAAACATACATCAAAACATAATCCACAGACCGTTCATATAAGAATATTGTGCGTCTTTTGGTAGACATTATGTGTCTCACCGAGGAACTCAGCAAATCCTGGGTCAGTGGACTGGTAGCCACTTCCTGTACCAACAGCTGACCACTGGCATCAGACACACTGAGAATAAAAGAAGGCTAATCAAGAACATTTCATTAGATGTTAGTTCTGAATGATCAATTATCAACTTCATCATTAGAAACATCAAATAATCATGAAAGATAGACAGACAGACAGACAGACAGACAGACAGACAGACAGACAGATAGATAGATAGATAGATAGATAGATAGATAGATAGATAGATAGATAGATAGATAGATAGATAGATAGATAGATAGATACAGACAGACAGACAGACAGACAGATAGATAGATAGATAGATAGATAGATACAGACAGACAGACAGATAGATAGAGACAGAGACAGATAGACAGACAGACAGACAACAAAAGAAAACAATAGATAGAACTACAGACAGACAGACAGACAGACAGACAGACAGACAGACAGATAGATAGATAGATAGATAGATAGATAGATAGATAGATAGATAGAGACATACAGACAGACAGACAGATAGATAGATAGATAGATAGATAGATAGATAGATAGATAGATAGATAGATAGATAGATAGATAGATAGATAGATAGATAGATAGATAGATAGTGTAATCTTCAACAAGACTGATTACAGTGTTCATACTGGTACAGTTTGACGATGGAGGTCTGGTTTTGGTCTGGTTTATCATCAGGGATTGACTCTTTCAGGTGTCCAGTCCTCTGACCCAAAACAGATATTATGATCTTCATCAGCTCAGGAAAGGCTTCCTCCTGCCCACCCTCGATCACACCAATCTGAGCCCGGCCTCCACGCTCTCGGTCCCTGATGTCCTGAGCCAGCAGAACGGCCTACGAAAGACAGGAGAGGACAGAAACACAATAGAAATCGATACATAATTTTATTATATATCCAGCACAGTGTCTTGCCTCATTTTTTTCAATTACCTTCAATTTTTCTTGTCTGTTGCTTTGAGGTCCATTCCATTGTATTAACGCTTTTCCCAAGTCCAGCAGGAATATGTCCCCTACATTAAAACTGCTCCAGGAGATAGATAGATAGATAGATAGATACATAGATAGAGACAGACAGACAGACAGACAGACAGACAGACAACAAAAAGAAAACAATAGATAGAACTACAGACAGACAGACAGATAGATAGATAGATAGATAGATAGATAGATAGATAGATAGATAGTGTAATCTTCAACAAGACTGATTACAGTGTTCATACTGGTACAGTTTGACGATGGAGGTCTGGTTTTGGTCTGGTTTATCATCAGGGATTGACTCTTTCAGGTGTCCAGTCCTCTGACCCAAAACAGATATTATGATCTTCATCAGCTCAGGAAAGGCTTCCTCCTGCCCACCCTCGATCACACCAATCTGAGCCCGGCCTCCACGCTCTCGGTCCCTGATGTCCTGAGCCAGCAGAACGGCCTACGAAAGACAGGAGAGGACAGAAACACAATAGAAATCGATACATAATTTTATTATATATCCAGCACAGTGTCTTGCCTCATTTTTTTCAATTACCTTCAATTTTTCTTGTCTGTTGCTTTGAGGTCCATTCCATTGTATTAACGCTTTTCCCAAGTCCAGCAGGAATATGTCCCCTACATTAAAACTGCTCCAGGAAACCTCCACCTGCAGAAAGACACACATATACACACACACACTGAAATTCACTCAAAAAGCGGTAGGTAAAAATCAGACATTATTGTCCTGTTCAGTCTTGACAGTAGTCCTGAATAATTTGTGGGGTCTACAATATTTAACTTCCCATTTCTTCAAGAGCCCAGGCCATGTAATAGAGAAACATCAGAGGACATGAGGACAGCAGTAATGCAAAGACAAGATTCTTGACCTTCTTGTGCATTAAATTCGATCATTTACAGTCTGGCAGCTTAATTTACTGATCCTCTTAATGTTAGCCCATAACCTGCAATATAAATATCTGCCACATGAAGTGAATTGCATTGCAAATACTCTAATGTGCTTTGACCACATTTATAATTCAACTCAAGCATAAAAGGTTGTCGCTCTCTCTCTCTCTCAATTTATATATACTGTATATACATATATATGTAGTATTTTTATTATCAGGAATGTCAACTAGAATAATATTATTAAATTATTAATATGAATATTAATTATTAATATATTAATATTGAATGTAAAAAATTAGATTTTCTTTTTAATATTAAATTTTATATTTATATAAGTCCATTTTAATAATTTGCTTTGGCTTTAGTTTAGTAACAACATAAAAGCCAATTCTTTACTTTTTTAAACAATGCTGATTTTCTAATAACATTATACTACTATATTACAAAACTATAATATAATAATACTACTAATATTATGAGTAGTTGCCTTTATCACTGCCACCAATCTGCAGTTAGCAATGAAAATTAATGACGTCCGTTCGTTTTGTTGTTGCAAATATCATTGTTGTTGTCATTGTGAAGGTGGTTCATGAATAATTAATTCGGGCCAGTGACTCTATGCTCCTGTAATATTTGCAAGTGATAATCAACTATTTAATATTCATGAGCTGAGCCTTCACTATAGTAGTATTGTGATTTGAGGTGTCTGGTGCAGTAGTTCACCTCTCTTGCAGTCACATGTTTTGTTCCTTTGACGTGGAGCAGGCGCTGCATGTTATACATGTTGCTCTCCACATGTGTGAATCCCGATCCCACACCGCCTTTTTTATATCTACAGGAAACAGGAAAGTGTAGACATAATCAAACCGTCATGGGATTGGTAGGAGCAAGCCTAAATGTTTTTCTTTCACTCACATGAGGCCATTCTTGAAGTAGCTTT